GTTCAGTTGGAAGATCTGGTTTGAATAAATAATTATCATCACTAGCAATAATAAGTGCCTTTGCACCAGCTGCTTGTGCATGTGTGATTTTGTCGACAAAAGTGCACCCGCCTCGATTAATGAGCAAGATATTATCCCGAATGATGTTTTCATCATCTGAGCTGTACGGTTCACAGCCATTTGATAACGGTAATATTTGTACAAGATTAGATACTTGTAGTTCTTCAGTGATCTTCGGTCCAAATGCAGCAATAGCACCAGTGTAGTCTGAATAATCCTCGTAAAAAATATGATTATGAATTACCCGAATAGTAGATGTTTCATATGTTTGGTACTTAATCCAAAAATCTTTTATAGATGGGTCTCGTATCTCAAAAATTTGTCCAGGAAGTAGTCTGTTTGCATCGAAACATGTAAAAAAATATTATTACAGTTCAATTTTTTGCAAAAGTAAATTTCGAGGTTAAGAAAACATACTTAAAATAGCCCACTAGATGCATTATGATTTTTGAATTTCGAAAATATAATAAAGTAATGTTAAAAAGGTGTTAATTCATAAGAATTACCGAAAAAGAATACCTTTAGTTACATCATAACCCGTCCTATCAGCTCTTCTTGATAATTCTAACTTTAGTCCAGCCAAGCTGTTTGCAATTAATCCATTTATGTATTGCAATAATTGCTGAGCCGGTCGATTGGCTTCAGGGATAGGATCACCGAAGCTGACATCCATTACTAAAGGCTCTGTTTCAGGGACTTCACAATGTCCATGTGGATCTAATGGTGGTAATGATTGATCTTCAAAGCCAACCAACTCCCTCGCAAAATCTGCATCAGGACGATCTGAAATGGATGCAGAAAATTCTCTTACTTTACTATATATTTGACATAGAGAATTTCCTGCTTTGTTATATTTTTGTGTTTCTTTTGAATTTTTTAAATACTTTGCGGGAAGAGGGATAATGTGCGCTTCTGTGATGATACAAAATATTTAAGAATTGCGTATAATAAGAACATGACACATTAAATATTATGAGTTACCAGTTGTAAAGACAAAATTATCGTCCAATTTGTTGAGAAAGTTTTCTAGAGTAAAAAATTAGATTCAATATTATTACTTAATTGTCCAAAATAATAATAATAATAATTTTTTTTGATCACTTACCAGTGTCAAAGAGTAAATACAAATATTTAAATGTTTCACTTAATGCAAAACTCTCCATTCTTTCTTCTAATTTTTTCGTAAGTACATCCTTAACAGATGCGTATCCACATTCTACACGGGCATACGATTCTAAATCTTGTAAAACCATTTCACCAACATGAAGATAAAAAGGGTCCTTAGTTGCCTGCGTCATTTAAGAAAGTAAGTATTTTTGAGGTACAAATAAATTGCACTGAATTTACACAGCATAACAACTACCTGGTAAAGGAAATATGTAGATTCAATAAATTCAGGTCTTATCGGATATGACGCTATTTCAACGTTTCTTGAATAAAAGTTGAACCTCTCTGGCATGGATCGATATTTTCTCCAGATGTTAAAATAAAGCAAATGTGATTTTATGGCGGTGTCCAAGTCACCGGATAGAACCTATTCAAAAATAGCATTCATTACAGATAAATGATGAACGCACAATCAAGTTATTCTTCACAACTCACCTGCAGACCTGGAAAATAAGCCGACAAGCTGTCCACCCAACCAGACATCAATCCTCCATTCATCATGTTTACACTGCGGTATAAATATCCTGATTCATCACGAACGTACTTTAAGATCGCAGAATATGCCTCGTTGAAAACACTTAAATATTCCGTTTCTCCGAAAAGTACGTATGCCTTAAGTAAGTATTCGTAGAATGAATCGATTCCAGCACCTGTGCTGGCAGCGGTATGGATCCACTGTCCAGTTTGAATGTCGATTACATTTCCAACAAGGTCTAGACTCGTTCGTCTGTTCCAAATACCGAACAATGCTCTACGCGCAGCCTCCTGTTAAATTCAGATAAGATTCAGAATTTTTTTTCCAGAATAACTAATCCATAATTACAATTTGATAATTACCTCAAACCGTGTGTCATTTTTGAGTCTGCTTAGAACACCGAACTCCAAAATCAAAGTACCGGCTCCGGCCGTACAAGTTTCGTGTGTTTCACTGTTTGGCACACCATACTTTAGGTTCACCTACCACAATTAGAATGGAAATCAGCATATGAATTTGACGTTCTATTTGACATTATTTTTTTTTTGCAATAACTTACTCTCGAAAAGGGAATTCCAGTCTTTGTTTTTTGAAACGCGGGTAATAATCTTTGTCCCAAATCGTAAGCTAAATCCAAAAGTTCATTATTGTAACCTTCTATCTTAAATCCAAATCGAGAATCGATTGCAAACAGATGGGCTGATAGCTGTTTTAGATGTGGAAATGGTTAACTTCGAAAGAGATTCCAATAATACCAATTAGCGAAAGTGAATGTATAATTACTACCAAGGCCCCTAGTACGCGAATGTTTGCTTCGAACACTTGCACTTTACTATTTAGGTCGAATGAAACATGTTGAATTACGTTACGAACAGCAGTTTCGAACCCTTCCTTGTCGTTAAATACCTTCAAATTATGAAAGAAATATAAACAAAAAATTTCGCTTCATTTCCTTTGATCTAAATTCATTGGGATACTTACAATGAATGAATCAAGGGAATCGACCAAAGTTAAGGAATAATCACCGAGAACATCATTGATCAAAATATTATTCCTAGAATGGATAAGAATATCAAATGAGCATGCACCATTTCGTCTACTTTAAACCGATATAGAAAAAATCAATTTATACTTGCGGATTCTCCTTATCACTTCCCCTTCCAACACAGCTAATTGGATCCAACTAAAAAAGAAAAAAAA